TTGCTGTGCACGATGATCGTTCTTGAAACTGCACCCTTTTATGTGCATTTTTCAGGTCTCTAGCTTTGTTGAAAGAAAGACAACTATTTTCAAAGAAACTTCAATCCCGATTATATGGAATTGGTTAATCGTGCTAATATATACTGACTATTACAAAAAGTCCTTGCTCGATTTACATAGATATCGCGCTTTATTCGCATGGAATTACAGTCGCTCGTGAAAGGGTGAAGGAAGCGAAAAACAACTGACATGGAAAATAATCTATGTGACAGTGGCCTAGATGATCCCAATTCTTGTGGGACAATTCTCGCTTTACTCCTAATTTTAGGGAGATTCAATATTCACTTGATTCTCCACGGGATTTTTTATCGTACGTTGAATGTAGGAAATTCGCCGTTGATTCCTCTATATGGGGGATAGATCCCCGAGGAACTGAGTAACGTTAAGGCACTGTGAAACTGATGAGGCTGTAAAGCAGAAACACAAGTCTTGCATTATATGAGTGCCATAGCAGACCTCATGAAAGTGTTATCAGGCTATACTGTTTTGAGCGAGAAATCAAAAACAGTTGAAAAGAAAGGTACGAATGCAAGTTACTAGAGACGGTATCATGTGCTCATTTCATCCTAATCATTTGTTTCACTCTGAAAAATTTCGTCAGCACAGTAGTGATTGATTCGTCAAAACACTTTGATACTGTATATGCCCATCGTCATAAACCACTTAGTTCTACGAGTCAAGCTATTTATGGTCAGCAAGGCATTGAAGAACCTGCGAGATCAAAGTGTGTTGAAACGTGTAAGGTTTTTTTTTTGGGAAATTTTGGGATGACGATATCATAACACAACGGTTGATTTTGGGATTTCTACCAAAAAATATTAGGTTAGAAACGAAGTTCTGCCGTAATTTTTTTGTTATTTTTATTAATTTACAGTGAGTTTATTTCTTGATCTTTTTTATCGTAACTAACGTCATTCGAAAGCTCGTGATCTCGATATTCAAAAAATTTAAGACATTCCATCTATTGTAATTATATAAAATTCCTTACATTAGAAGGTACACAGGTGCCCTGTCACATCATGGATTTTAACAAAGCGTTTTCCTGCCAAGCAACTGAAATGCTTAAGAGACGTGCAAGACTCTAGTTTTGAAATGTTCATTCTAATGTAGAAAAATTCCATACACTTGCAAAAAAGAAAATGTTTCGCATAACTAGAATCTTGGAATCACATTCATTCGAATGACATAATACTCGATGAAAAGACGGAGAAATAAATTTACTGCAAGTAAATAAAAATAGCAAAAGAAACGACAGAGCTTAGTTTTCAATTCATCAGCAGTGACGTTTCGGTTATACATGTGAAAGGGTTTCTAGTCAACTGATTAGTCTTACGAACTTTGTGGAAACGAATTAACTTTGATCGACAGCTAACTTCATGACACTCCATTGAATCATCAATACTATTCAAGATACATGAACAGCTGTAATATGCAAGAGTTACTAGATCGATTTTTAATGACAATCAAAATCACGTTTGTGTGTCTTCGATAGAGTGATGGCAATTATAAGCAGGAGTGTACTGTAAAGCAAAGCTCCTTTTAACTACGGCGTAACCAATCAATCATATTTCTTTGCTGATCAAACCTGTCGCATGAGGTGTTAATTAAAATATCCTTCCGCAAACGTTTTGATGCGTTTCTTTCCTTTCCCGGAGTCGATGGTTCGAGGCAATCGGGTAGCTGATTAGCATGCGATACTTCTTCGAAAAAGGAGTTCGCCGAGTGAGGTTCTTTATACGAGCGATACACTACTAAAAGAGGGTTCTATCCGAGCTAGACGAAGGTGAAGTTCCACAACGAGGGAACGACAGTGGACGATCGACTCAAACCCTCGGCTACAAAGAAGGCAGTACGCGTCGAAACGTTAGTCTTATACATTGTTATACGTTGCTATTAACACCTCGTGCTACAGGATTAATCAACCGAAAAAATTCTTCGTAGGAGTCTTCAATGGCGTCCAGCATGGAATCTCCACCATATCCCTTTGATTGGACGTTAAAAGCATTCTGTCTTCGAAGATAATTATATATATATATATATGTATATATATATGTATATATATATATATATGAGGGATGGAAGTGTGGTGGTGACCCTTATCAGTTGATATGACAACGAATCTCATGCCATTGAGGCTTAGAGGATTTCTGCTCACATCTCAATCAACGTTATGATCGACGTAAATGGATATTTACTCACAGCATACTTAGTCACTTGGTCTTCAACATCACCTGGGATCTGCTCTGACTTATACATTTGAGCCGATGTAAAGTTTGGATAAAAAAGAATAGACCTTCAAATTCTAAACAAGTCATATCCTTATCAGAATACATCGTTTTGAGTGGCCCTGTAAAAGATCGGTCGATAGCAGAGATATGATTTATTATAAAAGCCGCAAGCCCGCCTGCACGTCATCAGACGTCAGGTAATACCATTATCCGACTTGGTGTGATCAGTTTTTGCTCGGCGTCGATTCTTTTAGAAAGTTATTTGACCTCAATGAATCGACTGAGCCGAGGAAGGGTGCTACCGATGAGTCCGAATAGGACGAAATAGGCGCCTATGTAGCATTAAACCTATCGGCTCAAAACGAGGAGAAAACAATAGTCATTAAAGTTACAGAGTAAGGTTATTGTCACTGACCATGATTTTGTAAGACTTCATTGATTGAAACGCAGGGTCAATGTGGCGGAAGGCAACTTCCGACTTCACTATCAAGACTATTTTCGATATTCTAGTGTTTTCGACGTGAATTTATTCCATATAAAAATATTCAAATTCACATGACATAGCACTACACTATACCAGTCGTCTGTGTTTATTCACAATCTGATGTACCTTTAATTCCTGATTTGCACAGAATGACAAACAATAAGATTTAGAGACCCATACAGACGATCCTTGATGAAAACATGTTTACTGCCTATGGAATTGTCTTATGCTAAATTTACTGTCAACGTTTCTGTATAGTAATTTGAATATATATATTATTCTCAAAAAATTAGTTAGCACAAAAGACTTTAGATCTTGAAATGATTTCAAACGAATGAATTACACTAGTGTACGTGTAAATGGCTGCACCTACGCAAGAGTTCGTTTCTCAAATGCTACCAGGAGAAGGGATTGAGCAGAACTGAACTCGGCATGACTGTGTACAGTGTTTTAGAATATCTGAGGCTCTGAATCCGAAACATTTGACAACATATCGAAAACGAAATTTCGTCAGGCACAATAAGAAAAGCTTCTTAACTTTGCGATATAAGTCAGGCTATTTTTGAAAGGCATTAATATGATTTATACAGGAGAGAAATTGACATCTCTAAAGCTGTGATTTTACCTCGTATGCCTTCTCGATCGATGAGATTTCTCCACTATTTTGATGACAAGGGATTTCCCCATAGCTTGTTGGGCAAGGATTTCCTTTCGTCTTCAATGGATCTGTGCATGTCAAAAAAGTACTGGTTGCCTAACAATTCTTCGACATATACATTTAGTGTTATTTGTATTACTATCTCATTCTATTAGAAATATTTTGGGGCTCATCGGAATAACACTCAGTATATTATGTGAACAAAAACAAGGACTTAAGATCGAAAAATAATCAGATGCGATTCCTGAGCTTATCATAAATTTTAACTGTTTTCATGCTCTGTCAATTACCAAATAGACATGGGCGGAGTCACAAGTGTCAAAGTATTGTAGGAGCACTGGTCCCGTATTTAAAACGCTTCCATTCAACCTGCAACATCAGTAGTTTCGTTCTGGTACTTCCGTCGGTTCAGCTCCAGTTATGACAAAGATGCAGCTGTTCGTCTCTCTAGTCTTCATTACTATGGCATCATGTTCCACTCCAATTAGTCGAAGTGAAACCAACCGTTAATTCTACATCAACATAATTGCTGAGAAAATTTCTTTCCACAAACCGTTACTCATAAATCAACGCCATTCATGTTGCAACAAAAGTGGAAGCACCCAGCTAAGTTTGTTTAAGAAGTGACGTAAATAAGACTCGTTTAGAAATGTTAAAAACGCTGGAAAAAAACAAGCATAATGAAAATATTCTAAATATATCCTAAATAGTACCAAGAGCTCGTGCCATAATTTACCAAAAAACTTCATTTAGATATGTAACTATTAACCATTGATCATCGCTTCAACGAAGTGGACTACTTTATACATTTCGATGTAATTTTAACATCCGACTTGAAAGTAACATGAATTTTTCATTTCCTGCGGCAGAATTTCCTACAGAAGCAATACTCAAAAATCAATTCTAAGGAAAATGGATAAACAGTAATCAACATCCGGGATTCTCTCATTACGTTCACCGGTATTCGTGGTAATGTCGGACGAGCTTTCGCCATTCATAACAATACAGACGATCTTGGCACTGACGGTAACGAAGGAAGTCGCACAACGGGCAGTGCCGGCGCTCGCCTCGCTTGTGAAGTCATCGGCGACGTTATGTCAGGAAATGCCTTAATGTATTTCTGCAACCTGTATTCGCGTTCTATGAATGAAGATGTTTCGCAATTTGTGCACATTCAATCAATTCCTTCAACGATATCAACATTTTGAGAACATTTTTTACTCAACGTGCGAAGTTCTCCATCGAACATATATCTTTAAGTGATAAATAGAATTTTCTGTCGGTGGAAGCGATAAATGACAAACGACAGTATGGCTCCACGTACGAAGCAAATCGTCACAATGCTTCGGTGGTGCTTCAAACTTAGCTGTGTTTTATATGAGAATGTGATACTAGAGTAACGTAAAACCATAGCGTGGTCATTGACTCAATCCCATGCACCAAGCTCTGTGAGCCCGAATAAGAAAAAACCTCGAAAGTATACTCACAATTTCAAAATTTTGATTGCATTTTTTGTAGTGGTATGGTGTTTCCAATACACCTAAGAGAACTGAGTGGTAAGCAAAAATACGACCTCACGCGGGAGTCAAACCCGCGTCTCATCCATCCCGGGGACGCGTGCTAGCGCTACACCACCGAGGTACATTTGCGCCACCACTCATTCTTCAACATCTCTAAATTAGCTATGGTATGAATAGAACGCGGGTTCGACTTCTCTTTGAGGTCGTAATATTCTCATCACTCAATTCTCAGTGTATTGAAACACAGGTAAACATCAAAAACACGGAATAGTGTAGAGTAGAGCGTGTACCATATGATAGAGAAGAAAACTGGATAAATTTCTAAACATAGAAGAAAACCGATCTATAGAAAAGTAATCACAATAAATGGAGGCGAGGTCATATAAAAGTGGCGCGAGGGGCCCGTGTAACATTCTTAGGTGCGACAGTAAACGCAACGAAGAATAAGGGTTTATCCACTCCGCATGAAAGCGAAGTTGGAAGTGATTGAGAAAACTTCAAAATGACTTTGGCAAGAACAATATCGAAAGTGACTACTTTGTCGAACGTGAACCAGCATGATTCGATCAGCACACCGAACAACATAAATGATAGTCCCACGCTTTCCACTTGATAAGCGACATTCTAAAAGATGTTTAATCATGCCGATGAAAAATCAATGTGCGCCGTTTTTGTTAGTCTTTGATTCAATCATTTTGTCCATGACACAACATTGAAGTTACTACATACCACGGAATAAACAAGAACACACGAAACATTTTCTACAGGTTAAACCGCTATTTTCATTGAAACAGTCATAAAAGAAAATGGAACTTATAGAACTTAGGTCTGATGTCTATTGTGTGATAATTTTCTGGTCAAGGATTCGGTAGAGTGTCTACTTTGATGTATATGCGACATTACCTATTTCACGCAGCAGTATTTCAGTCTTGCTGATCCACACAACGTCTCTCGGCCACAATCGATCACTAACATTGAAGAGAATGTTGAAGAATTAGCATAAATGAAAATGAAGATGACATTTATCATACATTTTGGTCACATATCACGACTGATCGCAACCATCGCCCATTCAATCATGGACAGGCAGAAGAATAAAAAACGAATATTATAGCGGACTTTCCGAAATTTCTTCATCTTTTCATCTCTACTCAGCTATGGGATTTGGTCACTGCAGAGCATGCTTCAGCATGGCTCTGGCAGCATAGCAACTTAGAAAGAGAGCTTTGTTGAAAGCATTAAGAATTGTCTCCCGGATACCGACGTCGGTGATGCGACGATGGGAAAAGATGGGTGCGTCTCTCGCAGTGTACATAGGCGCACATCACTCATAGCAAACCTCTCAAGGGAATGCTTTCTTTTCCGGAATTTTATGATAATTTAGGCAACGTAGATGGTCCGTGACCTTAGAGAGCAAATGGTATAGCAGAGGTTCAAGAAGCTTAGAAAGAAAATGGTCCAAATGGCGAGGGCGGCACTCAGCTGCCACCTACCTCAGCAGCCAGTTCGGTCACGTAGCATCATGCGAACGGTCGTTTGACTTCATCCGGACCACCTCGCCTCAAATTGTAACCGATCCATTATTGCTCTCTCCACACAATCTCGTTGTCGTGTACCTAATTGCTGTCATAAGGTTGTGTTCAAATAATTGTTAATGAACTCAATAGAATTGTGAGCGGAACACAGAGCTTCCGTGGCGGAGCGAACTCACCTAGGCTATGCTCGGCCCACCACCGCCGCGATTGAGAGACTCTGTCCATATGTAATCAGTAGTTAGCCCAATGCTATCACACTATATATTCACCCGCGGGATCCCACGGTTAGCTTGCTATTTCGGGGTAAGCATAACATCCCAAACGGTCTCCGCCATATAGTCATGCTCCGTCAGTTACAATAATACCGTCAGTCATAGTAGCACTCATAGTAGCGTCAGATGGCGATACTTCTCATCAATCGGTCACTCAAATTGACATAGGCACATGTTCACATAAGGATATGTCGCAATTATGTATATTTTTTTATATTATTATTATTGTAGCAATGTATGCATATTATAAGCTGTTTGGTTCTACCACGTTGCTTGGTACCACGCCATTGTTTGGTTTCATGCTATTGTTTGGTATAACCCATATGGACCACTGAACCTGCACATTACAGTACGAATCCACTGAACCTCCACATATAATTTAGTGCCTCGGCTACAAATCTTCGCTGTACCGCTTCTGTTCTGTGCGGTCTCTGTCTCGGCCTCATATTCGTTTTCCCACCCCGACTCATGCCGATTGTGTATATAGGTAAGCCATCTTCATTCTCGAGCATTCGATCCGACGTCCGTGTGGAGTGCGGTCTCAGTCGCTACATAATTCCGTCTTTTCTTGATCAACAAGAACGAAGCTAATTGTTAACAAGCTCGCGTTCTCATCAGCAAAAGGATTAATGGATCGATAACGAGGTTTCTCGACAGTTGGTCCCAGGAGTTGCTTCTCTCCAAAATCCCCTTCTTTATTGACATTTGCTATCGTAGCTCGTCGCTATCGTATTGCTTATACAATCTCGCGGCTCATAGTCCTTCGGTTCGTCAACCATGTCCTCCGTGTGATGGATTGCCTATCGCTCACTCTATTGACCATTTTCCGTCAACATCTCTGCCGCACATAGCATCTAACGCACTATCTTCTCCTTGAATAACTTTGCTGATGAAGCCGTAGGATAGTTCACTTTTCAATCTGTCACTACAATCACTTTTGCAATAGGGAATCTTGCACTACTGTAAACGTATGACAATCTCAATCTGCAATTCAATTAAAATTAGCAATTTTGAGGCTTTGCTGTCGTTCCTCTGTTATCTCCATTATGATAATGTTACGAATATGAGGACAATGGTTCAATTACTCAAGTTTGAGACTGGCAGTTTCACTGACACGACGAATCCGCCACGTGGCATCTCGTTCAATCAAGCAAACAATTCTGTCTTTCAACCCATTGGGGAGCAACTCTCTTTATTCTTGTAGAGTGTTCAATGGACATGTTGAAGAATTGAAGATTAAGAAAAAAGTACAAAGCAGAAACATAACTTTGTGAGTTGTTTTCTCAGCTTACAAAGAGCGCACCGAACTTCGGTATAACGTAGGTAACTCAGTTCTTGCCCAGATATTTCCTCTGCTCTACAGATTTCTTGCTAAATTTTTGGCTCATAATCAATAGCTCTTTTCAGAAAGATGTTAAATCAAATACGTCTACCATACGGATAATATGAATCAAAAGGGGAAGGACTTTCTTGCATGAATTTCCTCATCAAATTTCGCAGTGAAGGTCAATGGTTAGAAGGATCCTATGATATGCGCACAAGTACAAATCTATATATATATATGTATATGTATATATATATATATATATATATATATCACCTGTATCACCTGTCGTCCCGTTGATCGTCGAGTGACTCGAGCGGGTACGAGCAACACTTCCATTTTTCCCTATCGCGTGCAAGAGTAGCCCAGTGGGTCCTCCTTGCTCTAGGAATTCGCTGAGCATCATATCTTTCTTCCATCGCTTTCGTGAAGTAATCGGACCAACGGGTCAGTGGTCTTCCTTTAGAGCGCTTGACGTCCCGAGGATTCCAGTCGGTAACGGCTCTCGTCCATCGGTTGTCGTTGAAGCGCATCACGTGTCCGGCCCACCTTATTTTCGATATCCTGGCGTGTAGAACGGCGTCTCTGATTTTCGATCGTTGACGTAGGTCGGAAGTTCGGATCCTTTGTCTCATTTGCGAAATACGAGATACTCCTAGCATCGACCTTTCGACTGCGCGTTCGATAACGGCAAGTGATCTTTCATCCTGCTTACGTAGCGACCAGGTTTCTGCTGCATACGTTAGGGCAGGGATAATTGTCGAGTCGAAAAGGTGGGCACGGAGTCGGATGTTCTTTGTCCTCTTCACTACATCTTCGATGCTCTTGAACGTTCCCCAAGCCGCTCGTTTCCTCCTACTCAACTCTGGGGCTAGGTCGTTCATCATGTTGATTTCACGACCTAGATAAATGTAACTGGAGCATTCGGAAATTGTCGTTCCGTTGAGCGTGAATGGGCATTAGAAACCCATCCGTTCCTCATGAACATTGTTTTCGTTAGATTCAGTTGAAGACCGATCTTTCCACAGGCGTTATCAAAATCAGTCAACATTCGTTCCGCTTGGCTGATGTTTGGTGTTATGAGAACGATATCGTCAGCAAAGCGAAGATGGTTTAATTGTCGACCGTCAATTTTCACTCCCATTTCGTCCCATTCTAATGTTCGCATGACGTTTTGTAGGGTGGCAGTGAATAGCTTTGGCGATATTGTATCGCCTTGTCGAACCCCTCTTCTTACGTCAATGGTGATATTGTTGTAGAATGGAGATATTCTGGTCGTGAAATCTTTATAAAGCTCACGAAGGATCATTATGTACCGAGTAGGGACGCCCTGGTTATCCAGAGCCTCTATAACCGCTTCTGTTTCCACTGAATCAAAGGCTTTTTTCAGATCGATAAAAGTGAGACAGAGTGGTTGTTTGTACTCTCGCGAAACTTCAATGAGTCTTGTGATCGTGTGGATGTGGTCCATGGTGCTAAATCCTTTTCTGAACCCTGCTTGTTCGCATGGCTGTCCTTCGTCCAGTGTTCTGTCAATCCTGTTCAGGATGACTCGAGTAAAGAGTTTATAGACAACGGACAGCAAGCAGATTGGGCGATAATTGCCTATGTCGTGAAGGTCTCCCTTTTTGAACAACAATACGGTCTTGCTGGTTTTCCATTGAATAGGGACCTTGCATTCTGACAGGTAGCGAGTGAAGAGCCGAGCCAGGGTGTTGATGAGAACTGGCGGCAGGTTCTTCAGGTGTTCTGGTCTAATCCTGTCTGGACCGGGTGTTGTTCTGTTTTTCACCGACGATATAGCATGTCGGATTTCGGAAGGATGGACCGGTGGAACGACATAATCGTCCTCTTTCAATTTATATGACGGTAAGAGAACATGGCTAGCGAAGAGATCCGAGTAGTACTGGTGGATGATTTTCTCCATAGCCCTTCTGGAAGTTGTAAGTGTCCCGTCAGGGTATCGGAGTGCAATCATCTTGGTCTTATA